CTTGTCAGATATGTACGAGAGAAATGTTTATCAATTCTTGAACATTCTCATTATCCACTTCAATATATCCTTGCTAATTTACATATTAATCAATCAAATATTTCATTTCTTGAAACAATGTATGACTTTATAACAATATCGTCACACAGCGATGAATTGTCTTTGGATGGAGCAAACCTTAAACAAGTGTCATTTGAACGATCGTTTGAAGTGGCTAAGTTCGATTTTATGTTAATGTTTGTCTATAATCCGATGATGGAAAATAGTAGATTATCATTTCGTTTAACTTGTTCACATGATCTGTTTGATGAAACTACAGTTACAAATATAGGTCAAAGGCTAGAATATTGTTTTCAACAACTTTTTTCATTAAATGAAAATATAAGTCGAATTGATACATGTTTTACATCTTTATCGAAATTGGATCTTATTCTACCAGAAGAAACTCGAGAAATGGAATATATCATCTTTTGTCGACAATCACATATTATAAACGAAGGTATGTTTAACTAGACATAAAGGTTTTCTTAATTAATATTTACATCGATAATCAATACATTATATACAAAGATCGCTGCAGATATGTTCCTATATCGCGCGGAAAAAGCATGAGTACGGTACAGTTGTGTTACTTCATTTCTCTTCATTGTTTTCTCGATGTTCTGAGAAAGAAAAGAAACAAGATGAGTTTTTCATTGATTCTAAAACCTTGAAAGAACAGCTAGCAGATATCATACTTTTTAATCTTTTTTGAGATAAACTTTGTTAACTATAAAAGCTCAAACTTCGCTTAACCACCCTTTTGTTTCTTTTTTGATAAATATTTGATATGTTTTAATCAGAGAAAGTACAATCTAAGTTAAGATCAGTAGCATAGTTCGAATAACCACAAACGACTGGGCTGGCTTATCTGTGTCATACAGCTTTTGGAGGAAATTGTTTTTTTTCGCAAAACACAGCTGAGCTCTCCCTCAGCGTACGGTCACAACATGAATTTTACTGGAAAATCATTGGAACAGTGGACACATAATTGTGACAGTATGAAACGCCGAATAAACAGTAAAGTTGCTATTTTGATTAAAATATTTTTTTGGTCGAACGCCGAGGAAGATCTCAGCTGTGTTTTGCGAAAAAAGCAATTTCATTCAAAAACTGTAAAACACATAAAAGCCAGCTGAGTCTTTTGTACTGACTCAAGCTATGTTATTGATCTTGAGTTAGATTGCACTTTTTCTCATTACAATTTGTCAAATATTTATCAAATATGAAAGAAAATGATGGTTAAGCGAAGTTTGAGCTTTTATAGTTAACAAAGTTTATCTCAAAAAAGATTAAAAAGTATGATATCTGCTAGCTGTTCTTTCAAGGTTTTAGAATCAATGAAAAACTCATCTTGTTTCTTTTCTTTCTCAGAACATTGAGAAAACAATGAAGAGAAATGAAGTAACACAACTGTACCGTACTCATGCTTTTTCCGCGCGATATCTACTTCATTACTCAATAACACTACATTTAATCGTCCTAGCATTTTTACCAGGGATAGACCATCAGATGGATAATTGAGTGGCATAGTTTCTTTTCCCCGATCTATTGTGAGTATGGATAAATTTACATCACTCACTCTTTTATGTATGTATGAATTAGTTATTTATGACACAAAAGTAAATCTGAATCCTTCTAAAGTAATCTTATTTTGTTATCAGGTGATAATCCGTGAAATTACGTATTAGTTAAGTCATGAATACACGGACAACGAAGTTAGCTCAAAGATGATTTTCGTACGCGCCACCTTTTTCAACCTTATTTTGTGCACATGTATCGGTAGAAATTATCTCAGATTGTCAACATTATATTATATTAGTTCACCTTCTTCGCGTACTAATACACGTAATATTGACAAAATCTGAATTAAGCTTAACTCATCTCTAATATATGTTATGTGAATGAAATAGCACAGCTGTCGAATAACTTGGAAAATAAAACAGTTTTTAAAAAAACTAATGTATTCCAAAGAAAATGAAAGTCATGGCTTACGAAAAATGTCAAGACGACTTATAAACCTTATCTACTTATTTCAAACTTCTCAAAGATGATACGCATAAAACATACTTCTCTGTCATACAAAACAAAATTAACTATATACCCTAATCATTCAATTCACCGAGTAATACGATAGTCAGAGGAACCAACACAACATAGATTACATAATAAACACACTTAATCATATTTCATTGCTTCTCCTTCGATATAGCACCAGCATCATTTGCACAAGCTCGTATTTGGCTTGACGAAAGAATTCGATTCGATCCAGACAAGCCACAAGTAGCAATCTATAATATGCCTTTTGTTTACCGTCTTCAGTCAGATCATAATTTGTCGATTAAACAACTTCGTCATGCTCTTCATCTCACTGTTAACAAACATCCCTCACTTCATACATCACTTATCTTTGATGCAAAAATGAATCAACTCATGCAACGAGTTATTACACGAAAAGATAACTACACTGATATGTTTTCAATCATCGAAACTACTTATGAAACAGATGAACAATTGAATGAAATTTTACATGACGAGAAACGTAATCCTCACCTGTTTGATCTTGCTCAAGGTGTTGTCTTTCGATGCCATCTTGTTTACTACAAACGAATCTCTTCCAATGATCTTCTTTCGCACAAAGATCTACTTATCTTCAACTTTCATCATGCTCTATTTGATTTTCCATCAATGAAAGTGTTTCATCATGATCTTAACCAAGCATATGCAACAGGTCAATTATTGTATGATGACAACACTAATCTTCGTTATCTCGATTGTAAATATAATTAGTTCTTATCATTTGCCTAATACATTATTTTCTTTGATTATGTAGATGCTGTTATTGAACAACAAATGTCAATGACTGGTGCAAGTATGTTTTGGCTTGATGCTCTTCATGATTGTAAACTCGATCAGCCTTTATCATTACCATTCGATCGATATCGTCTTGCAAATGAACATCGAACTGGTCGTGGAACATCTATTTCTTTTGATTTTGGTCAAGATCTCTCACATGACTTTGTTGTTCATGCATCATCAAATAACATATCACTGGAACATCTTGCACTTGCTACTTATTATGTCTTCTTATTCAAATTAACAAATGGTGAAAAAGATTTATGCATTGGGATAAATACACATGGTCGATATAGAGATGAACTCAACTCTATCATTGGAATGTTTGTGAATGCTATACCTTTGCGATGTCAACTTGATCCTCATCTATCATTTGATAAAATCACTCAGCACGTTCAAGATAATATGATAAATTGTATTAAATATTCATATTTTCCACTTCAACGTATTCTCAATCAACATCCTAATATGTCAAATCCTGTATTTCTTGATACATCATTTGAATTTATATCATCTATGAGAAGAGATGAGGAAAATGAAATAATGATTGGTGATAGTCGATTTTCTTTACTACCTTATTCAATTAAGATTAGTGAAGATGAAATAATGAGTAAATTTGATTTCATTGTTAGTTTTCAACATGATCTGAATCTGAATGAACTCTCATGTACCATTAATGCTTCTGTTGATTTATTCAATTTTGAAACAGTTTGTATAATTACACAAAGATTACAGACAACGTTACATCAACAGTTCACATCTTATCATCATAAAACAACCAAACCAATCTATGAATTATCATTAGTATTATCAAATGAACAATATCTAATGCAATCATTGAATAATACACAAATATCATTCTCATCTTCTCTCACTTGTATTCATCATGAGTTTGTACATCAAGTAATGAAACATCCACAAAAACTAGCTGTTGAACTAGATGAACAATCATTGACATATTGTGAACTTCTATACTATGTTCAAATGTTATCTTTAACTCTTCTTAATGAATACCATGTGTTTCCAGGTGAGGTGGTGTGTCAGTGTGTTGAGAGAAGTTTGTCAATGGTAAGTTGATTAGGAGAAGTAACTATTTATGTGAATATGAGATTGTATTTGATTAGGTGATTGGCATTATGGCAATTGAAATGGCTGGTGGCGTTTATTGTCCATTATCACCTCGAGATCCACAACATCGTTTGCATGCACTCACACAACAAACTCAAAGTCGTCTTGTACTTATTCATCATTTAACTGAGAGCGAACTCGATCCTAAGATTGTATCACTTAATATCGATTCAGTATTGATTGTTAATAATATGGAAAGTAATATTAATATTGATCAACTATCAAACATAAAAGTTACATTCGATGATGTAGCTTATATCATTTTCACAAGTGGCTCAACTGGAATACCAAAAGCGGTAAGTTAACACTAGAATTTCTGTCTACCGTATCTATTCCTCTCCATCCTAACAGGTTCAAATTCGTCATGAAAATTTTACTCGTTATATGTACTCATTTGTGAGTGTTAGCGCATTGAAGAAGGATGATGTAACCATTCAGATGTCTAGAAGTACTTTTGACGTTCATCTTCAAGAAATAGCTGGCGTTCTATTATTTGGCGCTACATTAGTTATGCTACATCCAAGAGGAATCATGGACTTTGAGTATCTTGTCAATGTTATGATAGAGAAGAATATTACTTATTTTGCTTCTGTTCCAACTTTAATTAATAATTTCTTCACTTTTCTACAACAACAAAATCATCATAATGCTGTGCAATACCTGCGAGCAGTTTGCAGTGGCGGTATGTGATGTTTATATGAAATGTATTATTTTTGATATTATATGATTTCATCTCTAGGTGAGCCTTGTTCTTTGAAACTAATAAATTTAATGTTAAATACTGTAACACACACTTGTCGATTATTGAACATGTATGGTACTGCTGAAACAACAATTGATTGCACAAGTTATGTCATAGATAGAAATCTAAATATGATCAACATTCCAATTGGACGTCCACTACCCAGCTATCGATGTACGATTATGAATCAATATTTACAATCATCTACCACTGCTCAAGAAGGTGAATTGGTTATAGGTGGAGTAGGTGTATTTGCTGGTTATCTTGGACGTGACGATTTAACTGCAAAAGTTCTTGTTGAAATAGATGGTGAACTATTTTATCGAACAGGTGATCTTATTACAATGGATAACAGTGGTCTTCTCCATTATCAAGGAAGAAAAGATCATCAAATCAAACTTCATGGTCAACGAATTGAACTTGGTGAAATCGAACGATGTTTACTTAACATCACATCCATCTCTACATGTGTTGTCATGAAATGGAATGATGATTATTTAGTTGCATATGTTCAAAGTTCTGATACTAATGAACGGGAATTACATGAACATTGTCAATCTCACCTTCCACCACATATGATTCCATCTTTCTTTATTATTCTTGATAAATTACCTTTGAATCAAAATGGAAAAGTAGATCGAAAACAACTTGCTTCACCCGACTTCTCTCCATCGACTTTGTTATCGTCTGATAAATCTGATACGCCTCTTAATCAGTTCGAAGAACGTATACACACTATTTGGTGTCAAGTTCTTCATTCTAATCAAGATAACATTTCTAGAACTACCAGCTTTTTCAGTGTTGGTGGTCATTCACTATTATTTATTGAGCTTTATCATCATTATCAGTCAGTATTCAACTTTGATACTCATACACTTTCGATTGCTCCATTTCTTCAACAACCAACTATTTGTCAACATTCACAATTACTTCAAACAGTTATAATGAATAATATCAAGACAACACAATGGTACACGTTACATATAAATGAAGGTAAAAGTGTTTACTAGGAAATTATTAAAATAAATTCTGTTATTTAATTGATAGCTATTGCCTCTTTTGCTCAAGAACGTATCTTTCTTGATGAACAAGTTCGTTTTTCGAGTGATATTGCTATTTATAATGAACTGTCGACTTTACAAGTTGTTGAAGGATCATTATCATTCAATCGTTTATTACAAGCATTTCGATATGTTTTGAATAAACATAGAATATTACGTACATCTCTTATATTTAGCAATGAAAATAGCAGTTTGAAACAATGCATCACAAATATACATAAAAAATTCACAATAACTATGAATCAAACATTTGAAAATGACAATGAACTTCGAGATATTATTTATCAAACAACTACCAATCCTCATCTCTTCGATTTATCAACTGGTCGTGTTTTTCATGCTGAAATTCTGAAACATGAAACATCATTAAATGAAAATGAAAATAGTAGCAATGAGGTCATAACTAATTCTGATGTTCTTCTCATTGTTTTTCATCATGCAGCATTTGATCGAGCAAGTACTTCGATCTTTTTCAATGATCTATGTTTCGCTTATAATACTAATGCAATACCAATAGAAGATGATGATGAATCATTACAATATATTGATTATAGTACACATGAACGTCTAATTGATATGACAACATCTCGTGAGTTTTGGTGTTTACAATTAGAAGAATACAATTTCGGCTCTCGACTATTATTACCAGTTGATCGACATCATTTGTCTAACGATCATCGATCGAGTTCTGCTTCTGTCACTCAAATCTCGTTTGACAACGAGATTTCACAATCATTTCTGGATTATGCTTCTATACA